ATTCAACAGTTTGGATGAAGGTGCTTATACATACTTAGTCTTCTACTATTTTCAATGCTAGCTAGCTAACACAGGAAAATACAGCCAGATCTGTGGTGGTCCTCCAATCATGAGACTAATATCTTACTTTTGACACAAATGAGCAAGTCATATGTTAACCTCCACATCTTCACTCTCTTTTCACTGGCATGATGGATGTCTATGGTAGTTTGTCTCTCACAATCCCTTTAATAAGGTCTCACTTCTGCAGTATCTCTTCTTATCACTCATTTGCCCAGTCGTTTGTCATGCCTGTCTTTAATTTTCCATAATCATCTTTTATTCGTCACATTCTTTACACTCTTAATACTTTTGGTTTAAGATGAATGTCTGTTGTTTCATTGCACAAATGTACTGTTTGGGCCTTGTTCTTTACAACAGACACTTTATTACTGCTGTATCTTATCGAAAGTCTAAAATATATGATTGAATAGGCCAGGCTATGAACGAGACAAATTATGCAGATACACAAAACCACACTGTAAAGATATGAGCCAAGCAAAGATGCTTTAATGAAATTGCAGTAGACTGTTATTATCCTGAAAATGTGTGACGTAGCTATAGTGTGGGGAGTCTTTTCATGCTTACCTGATATTGTTGTGATATTTTACTTGAAAATATAATCTATGATTATAACGATAATCAATAGACTGATCAATATGGTGATTGTTTCCATGATTGTTTCAATATTGGATGTCTTAATGCAGACTGTGAGTCCTATAGGTGCTTTCAATGGGCAAGTGTAGGTGCTCCCCATTGAACAGCGCTGATGAACTTGAGTGAACCAGTGAACTTTGGGTGACTTCCAAGAATATGTCAGGGATGGGCTGGCACAAACAAGTTTGATGAATGGCCTATGAGGACACCTGTGTCCAAAGGGAGGGTGAGATAAAAAGTATTGGGAGAATGGTTCAAGCTAGCAGGAGTCCACAATTAGAAAGTATACCAGGACCAGGACGGGAAAGAATGAGTGTAGCAAAACTAGTGGAGTATGACCAATCAGAGACCGAGCTACCAATTTTTGGTTTAAAAGACTGATAAGAATAAGGTATAAGAATGGATTTCGGGTCAGACAAAGACTCCGATGCGGTGACCGTCATCTCGGCTTTGTCCAATAAAGTCTGGAACTCTGCTTCTTGAACTTCATTTACTACACTGAGAAGACCATTGTTTGCTCCACGACAATATGCAAACTTTATGCACACTTAAAAAAAGCTGTTTCCATTTGAACTGATTATCATGGTCAGGTCATTTTACGGTTTCAGAATATTTGAATAGTTTTGTGTGTCAGTTGTGATAGAGACAGAATTATATTTCCATACAGGTTCGTCTGATCAGAAACTGGTCCAAAGATCAACTCCCAACTATATTTTTTCTTGATATTTTGATATTAGTTTAGTTTCAAAAATTACACAAACACAGGTGACTTTCTTTATTCATCAAATTAAACATTAACAGGAAAAAAACCAGATGACTAGATCTTGGCTAGACAAAGCAATGAGCCATTACACCTCCTCACAACAACAGTTCACACAATGCCAGCTCATCTGAAACTCTTTTACCTGAGGGGAAACTCAGAACACCTTAATTTCACACGTGGTTTTGGGGGCCTCATTTATAAAATGTTGTGTAGAAACCGTCCTACATTTGATCTATGATCATTCCTTATTATAATTAATAGTAGTAGTAGAAGAAGAAGAAAAAGAGACACACTTGTTTGTGTTTAATATTCAGTTATGTTGAAGATTTAGAAGAGTTTCTGTTATATTTTATGTTATATTTTGAATATTAACTGTACTAATGTCAGTATGAGATTAATTTCTTGTTACTTATCCCATATGTTACATATTAAATTATTTATCTTTTAATAGACTACATTTTAAGCCGGTATGACTTCAGTAGGGTGCTCGGTGAGGGAAGATATGGCACCGTCTATGACGGGAGACACCTGGATGGCCTTGAGGTATTGTTATTTTACTTACAATATTTAGCTAGCAAATTGTTTTATTTGTTTCATTAATTGTTTCAATTCCTCTCAGTGTGTATTATGTCATGTGTTTAGTGCACTTGACGTGTTTAAAATGTGATTTGTAACAATTTCATTTTTTTTGTTCATCAGGTGGCTGTCAAAATTGCCAAGAAGCCAAAGAACATGGACTACATCCACATAGTAAGGCTATGCTCGTCGTGTTTTTTTTTGTTTTGTTTTTTTTTCTGTTTTAAATATAAAACATGTAAACAATTTGTCCAGGACTGGACTAAATCCTTATTTGGGAAAGCGCCACCTTCTAAGAATGATCTTTTAAATAATCTTTCTTCTAGCCTGGCCATCCCACACCCATTCCCTTAGAGGTTGGCCAGTTACTCTTTGCTAATAACACCGTGTCTACACCGGACTCAAGCGGCGCGACAAAATACGATAGAACTCATTATAATCATTGATGCTGCCTACACTGGATACGGAGCGACACGACAAATCCCCGACATTAAACTGCTGCCGCGTTCTATTTGTGACGTATTGACACAAATTTCAAATGAATTTCAACGGTTGCTTTGTCGCGTCCGGTGTAGACAGACTTTGGGGCCTTTCACATATCGCGTCTTTTGCGCTCTCAAGTTCGTTATTTCAAATGTAGACTCGCAGCAGGCGCGCTCATAATTGACGCGGTGCGACGCGCTCATTTTTTTCCAGGAGCGTCCGGCGCATCGAGATAAAAACGTCAGTGGCCATCCCTCCACACCTTAGTTTTTGGGGGGGCTGGCAAGCCTTGGTGGCACCTAGACAGTCCCAAAACGCCCTGTCACCTGTCATCGTGGTCCCAGAATTTCCTTTCATGGCCGCCCAAGAGGTTCCTGTGAAATCTGTTCTTGCTACAGCCAGCCTAGAGTTTCCGGTCTCGGCCTCTCCATTCCTTAGCTTAGCATCTGGTGGCCTCTATATGCCTTAGCATCTTGTAAGGCTCCCAAGCATCTGGCACCTTGGCTTGAGGCAGTAATAGAAGACAATGAGACATTTTATATACATTGTCCCATTATATTATATTATTTATTACATTTAAATGAACCATTACATTAGAAATTTCAGATTGATTGTGTGTGTGTGTGTGTGTGTGTGTATATATATATATATATATATATATATACAGTGGGTACGGAAAGTATTCAGACCCCCTTAAATTTTTCACTCTTTGCCAAAAAGTTCTATCTTGGTCTCATCAGACCAGAGGATCTTATTTCTCACCATCTTGGAGTCCTTCGGGTGTTTTTTAGCAAACTCCATGCGGGTTTTCATGTGTCTTGCACTGAGGAGAGGCTTCTGTCGGGCCACTCTGCCATAAAGCCCCGACTGGTGGAGGGCTGCAGTGATGGTTGACTTTCTACAACTTTCTCCCATCTCCCGACTGCATCTCTGGAGCTCAGCCACAGTGATCTTTGGGTTCTTCTTTACCTCTCTCACCAAGGTTCTTCTCCCCCGATAGCTCAGTTTGGCCTGACGGCCAGCTCTAGGAAGGGTTCTGGTCGTCCCAAATGTCTTCCATTTAAGGATTATGGAGGCCACTGTGCTCTTAGGAACCTTAAGTGCAGCAGAAATTTTTTTGTAACCTTGGCCAGATCTGTGCTTTGCCACAATTCTGTCTCTGAGCTCTTCAGGCAGTTCCTTTGACCTCATGATTCTCATTTGCTCTGACATGCACTGTGAGCTGTAAGGTCTTATATAGGCAGGTGTGTGGCTTTCCTAATCAAGTCCAATCGGTATAATCAAACACAGCTGGACTCAAATTAAGGTGTAGAACCATCTCAAGGATGATCAGAAGGAATGGACAGCACCTGAGTTAAATATGTGAGTGTCACAGCAAAGGGTCTGAATAGTTAGGACCATGTGATATTTCAGTTTTTTTTTTTTAATAAATCTGCAAAAATGTCAACAATTCTGTGTTTTTCTGTCAATATGGGGTGCTGTGTGTACATTAATGAGGAAAAAAAATTAACTTAAATGATTTTAGCAAATGGCTGCAATATAACAAAGAGTGAAAAATTTAAGGGGGTCTGAATACTTTCCGTACCCACTGTATATAATGTATTAAATTAAACTGACAATTGCTGAGTGAGAGCTAAACGGTTCATATAATGTTACTGATCTTTCTTTAGAGGTTGGAATATTTTGCATATATAATTTAGCCTTTTCATTGTTGAATGACTTAAATATAGTTTAATGAAAATAATTTAACTTTGTATAATAATTAAATTTTTTGGGAAGTTTTCTGAGACCACCTAGTGGATGCAGTCAATTTAAAAGACTCAAAAATACAGAATAATAAACTTATTCTGTGGATTATTATTATTATTATTATTATATATGCTATTTCAAATAAAAATTTCAAGTTTAAAAATAATTTTTAAGGTACAGTACTATACCATAAGGAAATACACAATAATCAGTTTGTGTATTAGGGTGTCTAAAGCTCAAAGTTCAACAGATAATTTTACTTTACCATATAAACATTTTAATAAGAGATGATAGAATACAGATACTACTTACCTGAGTTAATATAAGGCGATATGAAATGTATTTAGTGAACTGTACACATTGTTTTTACCTATTTTATTTTTATTTTATGATTCAATATGAAAATGTAATGTACATATTTAATTAAAAAAGGTCCCACAGTATCCATATATAAATACCCAAACAATAGTAAGAGAGTACAAAATATCCAATAATACATCATTCAATCCTGATTATAAAGTTTGGTATTTTTCAAACGGATGCCTTATTCTTACATTTCTTGTGAAATTGGGTGTGGGAAATATGGCATAGTACCTGTCCATTTCTATATATGAAGCTTCCTATATTTTCTAGTTTTATATATTAATTTCCATTCCTATATAAGAATTTTCCCCTTTAAATGCCAAAACTTTTGTTTGATACAGTGATTCCAAACCTTTTTGTCTCATGTACACCGATAGCCCCTTCAGTAGCTTAAATACACTTTTCAGTATTTTGTAACTAAAGATTCAGACTTACATGGCAAAAAAAAGTGATTTCTTATCAAATATAATAAATTATATAATATGTAAGTAATGACTGGTAATGTCCGTTTGTAATGTCTTCATCCTCCTGTCTTTGTTTCTCCAGTTGGTGCACATCTGGTTCAGCTGTTAGTCCAGACTATAGGGGGAGTCATTGTTACTGTATTTCCAGTGTTGCACACGACGCTGCAGTTTTAGAGCGGCCTGTCTGAGAAGAGAAAGGTACAAATGAATGTTTTTAAATATATTTTCAAAAATATACAAAAAGTCCAAAACTATATTGTAGAAAATACATTTTGTATTTTTTCTATTTATATTATTTTTAAATAAATATTAAAATATATATTTGAAAATATTTTGCCATATGGATTAAAAGCGTAACAATTTGAGTGAAACGTTGAATTTCAACTGCAAATTTTCTTATTTGATTAGAGCGGCCTGTCTGAGAAGAGAAAGGTACAAATGAACACTTCACTAACATATCTCTGATTAACCATATGAAACTATATCTACAATATCTCCAACATGAATATCAATATGTACTGCATATGCAATGTTTGTTAATGTACTGTATGTGTGTTGGCACTAATTCATTCAGACTAAAGACTCATTATTGAGTGTAAGGGAATGGCACATTGAATCATACTTGGAGATGTTCTTGCAGTAGAGCATGCTGATGGACCGCAGCTGCGTACAGCTGCACAGTAGAAAGGAAGGGGTGCGGTCAGTCAGGAGAGGACAGCCACTTACATCCAGCTCCTTCAGGAAGTGGCCAACTCTTGTCAGGTACTTCACTGCTGTATCTGTCATCTGGAGTAACAAAATATAGTGTCAGCTAATATGTGATGTTTACCCAGTTTGAATACCGTATAGTAGGGTCCAAAGATCTGAGACCACTAGTGAAAATTTGTATGTGTGTTTTCTAATTGAATGCATTTTTTATTACAAATTATATTCCCATACGGCAAAAAATATTTCTTCTGGCTAAAATATATTATAAATATATATGCTAAATGTATGTTGTAATTGGAAATATGTTTAGTTTCAACCTTCATATACCAAAATATATTTCAAAATGTATTTCAGGTGCAAGAAAATACATTTCCAATCTTACAGAAGCCTCCATTTAGACTAACTGCAAATTTGGATGGAATATTTTGCCATATGGATTAAAAGCGTAACAATTTGAGTGAAACGTTGAATTTCAACTGCAAATTTTCTTATTTGATTCATGATCTTGAAATATGTCTTATTAAAAACCCTAGAATGTTTATTCTTTCAAGATTACTGAATTAAAGAAGTACTTTAGGGCATCCAGCTATTCTGACTGTGGCAATGGTCCTGCAGAAGAAGGAGAGGGCTTTGATCGCACGATCAGACAGACACACACAGTGACACACATCCAAAAGCTCCAGACGATGACACAGTTGGCAAAACATCTGCACAAGACAAAAAGATCATGTGAACTTTTCCAAAAAGAGTAATCAGATGGCAAATACATTGCAAGTCATCAATTTATAAAGTGATAAAAAGGTAAACCAAACCTTTATTCCATTATCTGTTATGAAAACACATTCAGCTGCGGTCAGTTTTCTCATACTGTGGTTAGTTCCCAAGGCTGCTAGTCCCTGTGCAAGACACAATATAAAACAGTATTGACTACAGCTGTAAAATAATTATAAATATTATATTATGTTTAATACTGTCGTGGCAATTCAATAAAGGTATGAGACAAAAGTCTTCTGAAGATTTATTTTCTTGCAATAAATGTTCAACAGTCATACATTCATCCAAGTTGACTGCAGAGTGCAACCAAGAGGAAAACACCTTGACCCTATATTTATACCCAAATCAAATCAGGATGCTTCTATCTCATCCAATCATAATGCATACTCAAGATATGTGTCCATTTAAGGTGTCCAACTATGTCCCCCCCTAGATGTGTTTCTAAGTATTTAATGCAAATTATTTTCTAAGAAGCTAGGTATAAAATAACATTTCTTGTCTCGCACTTGTCTTCCACACACACACACATTAAATAGATTTCCTGTTATCTCTCAGCCCATCGAAAACTCAAGCATACTGAAGCAAACTGAGCACTCATAGAGACAAAGAACACTCTTTAGTACAGTGAAGCAAATAATGCTAATAATAATATTAATATTTCAGATAGAAATAAAATTTCCTCCACAAATACTAGGTGTACTTTGTCATGTATTTTGCAGCCTGTGATGTCCAGAGAGATGAGAGAAGCACAACTGTCCAGACACTCAAATCCATTATCTGTCAGGTTCTCACAGAAACATACGCTCAGGTTGGTCAGATTGCTACATCTGGGGGGAAAAAGTACATTCATACAGTCTCTGTATATTAAGAATTTTCATGTAAAAATTGTCTGCAAGTGTAAAATGTATTCACTTCTGAGTTATTCTCGTCAGGGACAGGTCAGTAAGTTTTGGGCAGTAGGAAAGATCAAGCTCTCGCAGTTCAACAGCAGATAGTCCTTCAGTGATGTAATGGATTCCCATATCAGTCACCCTAGACCAGATTAAAAAAAAAAAAAACATGACACAAATTATACACAACTTATATGTGTGTATATATATATATATATATATATTAGAACCTGAAATGCATGTCAGGAATGTAACCAAATATTCAAGATTGGGGGGACCAAATGTGTACATTTAGGAATTAATTGTACAGAAAGAATTTATATACATATATATCCTATATTTTTTTTCTGCTGTATGTAGCAACAAAAATTGGGCAAAAAAATCACAATGATTTTTCATATTTCCTGCACATTTGTTTTACTTCTGATTTTTTTTCCATACATATTATACAACTTTAATACAAATCTGTTATTTATTTGTTATATTTATTTTATTTTATTGGTGTATTTTATATATAATGTGTGTATGCTACTGTTATATATATATATTGCCATATTTCATATTTTTGCCCATTTTTTGTTCTCTCACCCCACAGGAAAAAAAAATTCTCAGAGAGACACTGTGTTTGCATTTTTTCTATATATTCATGTTGGTCTTCTCTTACTTGATACAGCCTGAGATATTTAAGTTGCACAGTTTTGTCAGACTTCCTAAAGACTTCAAGCTGGCATCAGTCATGCGAGTGCAGTCAGACATCTGGACCTCACTGAGTTTCAGAGAGCTTCGGCACAGGGCCTTCAAGCTGCTGTCCATCATTCGGTTATTACCTGAAATGCAGAATGCACAGTTTCTGTTTTACTTATTCAGCCTTTCTAGCCTTGCCACATTATTTGAGCACATTAATACCAACCTTCTATTTGGATCTTGGTGAGGCTGATCTCTTCAGCGATTGTTTTGAATGTCACATCAGAGAGATACGGTGAGTCCAACAGGGAAATCGCAGTCAACGCATGACATTTAGACATTAAGACCTTGTTGCAAAGAAAAACAACCATCACCATTCAACTAACAATAGAAATGTAGCTTAAACTTAGTGTCTAAAAGATGTTAATGTACATAATACATATAATAACATGTACCTGCACACAGGTGTCAGTCAGGGTGGGGAGATCATCTAACACAATCTGTTGAAGTGAACTGCAAGCTTCAGCGACATATCTAAATCCATCCACAGATATCTTTACAGTAAAAAATAAAAACTGTAATGCCACATTTATACAATGCAATTCATTATAGCAATCCTTAATCTGAGCACCAAAAAAGTAAAATGGTACAGTATCTACTACCATTTTTGGCTATGTACTATGGAAGTACTATTTTATTATAGTATATTAATATAATTACTTACACATTCGATAAAATATTATCTAATATTACTAGTTTTCATGTCCTATACATGTCAACACCTGAGAACAACCGGAGAGGTCCAGATAATTGAGTCTGTGACAGCCTTTTTCTGTGGTCAGATATTGCAGGCCTTTATCAGAGAAACTTGTGCAGTATGCGAGACTCAGAGACCGCAGCATCAGACAGCATCTTTAAAACAACAATCAAATGCAAAAGCATCTTAAAAATATAGTATTTCTGTTATTATGGTTGTGTACAGTATGAAGAACTGAGAAACATGTAAGAAGTTTGTACCTTGACAGGACTCGTATAGTGGCATTAGTAATATGAGTAAAGGCCAGATTAAGATGGAGGAGAGAGTGACATCCTTCTAAAATCATCTTCATATTTTCATCCTGTCAGTGTGTTTACAAACAAAACAGGTATTAGATTGATTTTTTTAAAAGCAGCAAAACCTAAACACAGTGTGTTTGTATTCTACTTGCATTAAGATTTGGGCATTCACTGATATCAAGTTCTTGAAGATTTTTGCATTGACCTTTTTTGACAAAAACAAAACAAAACAGGCAAGATCCTTATCATATCATTGATTAAATCGAAAACGAATGACTTTTAAGGCTGATTAAAGTAAATTTACTGATGCGTCTAAAACTCGACTTCTGCACCAGCGTGCAACCGCACAAGTTGACAGAGATCACATAAACACGATGCACCCGCAGTATTCTCTCCACAGTCCGATCTATGATCCAGCTGGCCTCAGGGGAGAAATCGATCTGCAGAAACACATCTTACAGCTTATACTGTCTATATAGCATCATGGGAGCTGAATTCAAGAGTTTTTAAGTGAGCTGCACTGACCTCAGTCCACAGTGAGCTGATCTGAGTGATCGCTTTCCAAGAATGACACACCAGAGCGCATTTCAGGAGGTCACGCACACCTAGACTTTGGAAGATCTGCACCAAATTGTTTATTAAAATCAGTTGACTTGAATTATTGCTAGTTATTTAATGGCAAAATCCCAGAGGTTAAGTGATACCTTAAGAGACAGTTTGTTAGGCAGCAGTGATAATCTGTCCTGTCCATCACCCTGTGGTATCTCTGAGTTCTGACTTTCTTGTATATCTCTTTCTAGCCTCTGAACAGACATACATAATCATTAAACATCTCATTAGTCCGTGCATTTGTGTTTGGCTGACATTTTATAATTTGAAAACCTACCTTGAAGTATTCCTTGGCTCTTTTAGCATCCTGTACAACATGACGCCAAGCAGTGATGGTGTTTCTGCAGTGAACAGACTCCTGCACTTTTTGAAGTTTCCTCAGGGCATCTGGATAAAATATATAATGCCTTCATATGTTAGATTATTAATAGAGAACAAAATGGTGTTTAAATAAATTGAATAGCTGGATTTTTCAAATATTCCAACTTTGAGTTACATGTAACCCTAATTTCACATGACGAAATATATAAAGCATAGCTGAGTACCATTCTGCCTCTGTTTGCGAAACTGAACCCACGCTGTCCACTTGATGAAAGCCAGTTTTATCCGTCTCTGTTTGTGATACATCTCAGTCTCTTCCATTCTCTCTAGGAGTCTGGCAGCCTTCATTTTCTTCATTGAAATATAACTCTTCCAACCCCTTAACATAAAACGTCAGTCATAAAGTTAGTTGACATAAAGCCCGGGGTTTTTGTTGCTAAAGCAGGTTTTGTTTGCTGTTGTGACTCTTTTATACTCCAGTCTAGTGTTTTGACACTCACATGAAACACATTTTGAACAGGTTGGTGCGATAACAGGAATATGCTTTCTCCAACAAATGTGACGGACACTGTGAGAGGGGAAATTAATAAACGAGTTTAAGCTCATGGAAGTTTGATGCACTCAACCCTCTATTCATTCGTAATGAAGAAAGAGAGATTTACCAGGCTGTCTTCTGGATTTCCAAACATATCATACACAATGCCTCCTGCCAATGAGGAGATTTGTTTGTCTTCGTCAATAAATGTGTGCCTGAATTCAGAAACAATTTAGATTTTAGAGATGTTATTTATTGTATTAAAACTGTTTACTGCTTATAAGCTTGATTTTACATTATAGAGCCATACATGTCAAAAATTATACAGAAGTACACACACCAGCAGATCTCACAATCCTGATCCTCTAGGATTGATAGGATCTTCTCCTCTATAAAGTGCAAAGGATCTTCGGGGCATGATACACATAACCCAGCAAGTAAAGCCTGGTTGAAATGCAAAATAATAATAATAAAAAAATACATAAAAAATCTTACAAATGTAGCATTAATTAATCTGAATCTAAAAATCATCTAAATGAATAGCATTTACTTTTACTAAAGATTTAACAACTTTTACAATAAATGTTATTAACAAATAACTACACTGTGTGCATTTACACTATTTTCTTAGCTGGGTTATTCATTACCTAATTAGATCATTAGATAACAATAACAATTCACCTTGTAAATCTGAGGAAGTGAATGTTTAATCATGTAGTCTCTTATAACTGGGTCTGAATCTTGCAAAGAAGTCATCATAAAACCGATGGCTCCAGGTGAAGAACTTCATTTCCTGAAGTCAATGCAACAAAAATCTGATACACCTGCAGCTTCTGTCAATATTTACACTTCATGTTGCTTGGTAACCTAAGCATGTGGTTGGTCAGAAGAAATCCCAGGAGGAATTGAGAGCAAAAATACAAAGTAAAAAAAAAAAAAAAACTGTGTGTATAGATAGATGGATGGATGGATGGATGAATGGATAGAACGAATCTTTTAAGTAAACAAATAATATTTCTAAATCTCATTTTTATTTTTATTTATTAAATAAAAATAGAAATGTAATTTGTTCAAAAACACCAAAATCGTTCATGAACGCAACACTTTAGTGATGCAAAGTCCGATTCATTTCCGCAAGTTAGAAAAGAAATGCGTAGAGACGTTATTGCTTGATGACGTCAGGAACCGGTTCAATGGGCCGATCTGTCCGAAAAGAACCGGTTCAAAAAGCCGATTCATCGGTTCCTGACGTCATCAAGCAATAACGTCTCCACGCATTTCTTTTCTAACAACTCAGTGCCATGTTGTATCAATGAAAAATTCAAATAAGTCATTTGTGTCAACACATATTGAAACATTCAAAAATAAAGTTATTTGTGTGAACGCATATTGCTGATTATTGCCATATAATTCACTTAAAAATATATAAAGCATAGCTGAGTACCATTCTGCCTCTGTTTGCGAAACTGAACCCACGCTGTCCACTTGATGAAAGCCAGTTTTATCCGTCTCTGTTTGTGATACATCTCAGTCTCTTCCATTCTCTCTAGGAGTCTGGCAGCCTTCATTTTCTTCATTGAAATATAACTCTTCCAACCCCTTAACATAAAATGTCAGTCATAAAGTTAGTTGACATACAAGCCCGGGGTTTTTGTTGCTAAAGCAGGTTTTGTTTGCTGTTGTGACTCTTTTATACTCCAGTCTAGTGTTTTGACACTCACATGAAACACATTTTGAACAGGTTGGTGCGATAACAGGAATATGCTTTCTCCAACAAATGTGACGGACACTGTGAGAGGGGAAATTAATAAACGAGTTTAAGCTCATGGAAGTTTGATGCACTCAACCCTCTATTCATTCGTAATGAAGAAAGAGAGATTTACCAGGCTGTCTTCTGGATTTCCAAACATATCATACACAATGCCTCCTGCCAATGAGGAGATTTGTTTGTCTTCGTCAATAAATGTGTGCCTGAATTCAGAAACAATTTAGATTTTAGAGATGTTATTTATTGTATTAAACCTGTTTACTGCTTATAAGCTTGATTTTACATTATAGAGCCATACATGTCAAAAATTATACAGAAGTACACACACCAGCAGATCTCACAATCCTGATCCTCTAGGATTGATAGGATCTTCTCCTCTATAAAGTGCAAAGGATCTTCAGGGCATGAGATGCATAACCCAGCAAGTAAAGCCTGGTTGAAATGCAAAATAATAATAATAAAAAAATACATAAAAAATCTTACAAATGTAGCATTAATTAATCTGAATCTAAAAATCATCTAAATGAATAGCATTTACTTTTACTAAAGATTTAACAACTTTTACAATAAATGTTATTAACAAATAACTACACTGTGTGCATTTACACTATTTTCTTAGCTGGGTTATTCATTACCTAATTAGATCATTAGATAACAATAACAATTCACCTTGTAAATCTGAGGAAGTGAATGTTTAATCATGTAGTCTCTTATAACTGGGTCTGAATCTTGCAAAGAAGTCATCATAAAACCGATGGCTCCAGGTGAAGAACTTCATTTCCTGAAGTCAATGCAACAAAAATCTGATACACCTGCAGCTTCTGTCAATATTTACACTTCATGTTGCTTGGTAACCTAAGCATGTGGTTGGTCAGAAGAAATCCCAGGAGGAATTGAGAGCAAAAATACAAAGTAAAAAAAAAAAAAAAAACTGTGTGGATAGATAGATGGATGGATGAATGGATAGAACGAATCTTTTAAGTAAACAAATAATATTTCTAAATCTCATTTTTATTTTTATTTATTAAATAAAAATAGAAATGTAATTTGTTCAAAAACACCAAAATCGTTCATGAACGCAACACTTTAGTGATGCAAAGTCCGATTCATTTCCGCAAGTTAGAAAAGAAATGCGTAGAGACGTTATTGCTTGATGACGTCAGGAACCGGTTCAATGGGCCGATCTGTCCGAAAAGAACCGGTTCAAAAAGCCGATTCATCGGTTCCTGACGTCATCAAGCAATAACGTCTAAAAGAACGATTCGTTCAGTAACCGAACATCACTACAACACTCCGCGAAACCTTTTGGTCGTCCACTGATGCAATAGGCGGCAACATGCAGAGGAAACAGTCAGTGACGAGTATGACCAGCAACTGTTTGCAGCCTTATTTATCCTGCCGGACAAAGACCATGTGTTACTGTTAACATGTATCTATGAAATCTGCGCCTATCGCAGAATGGGAGATGCCAATGTCGTAGCCCGGCTCGGTAGCATGAAGGCTCTGTTGGGGATTGTAGCAGGAGCCGGAGCCTCATATGGCATTTATAAACTAGTCTTTGGTCGCGCAGGAGATGCAGGAGTAAACAGAAAAAAATCTACTGAAAGTGTGACTATTCAGCCTGGGAGCCTGATGGCCAAAGTTTCTGGATTTAAAGTTGTCCGTAAAAGTGATAATCTGGATCCTTCTGCGGATATTGAATCTAGTAAGTGACATTCAAATGGTTTTCAGGATGTATTATGAAATTTTAAAAAGTCTAGCTCACTGAAAGCTTAAGTTTGAAGGGTTGTTTTTCAACCCAATCAACCCTCAATAAATATTACAGTGATTAAACCGAGGCAGTGTGTCAACTTCATTTTGTTGTCCCAGATGTTGTCTTCATTCAAACCTTTCTTTGTTTTTTTTTTCTTCTCCCAAGGTGATATTCTCTCAAAAAAGTTTCTGGATTTAAAGTTGTCCGTAAAAGTGATAATCTGGATCCTTCTGCGGATATTGAATCTAGTAAGTGACATTCAAATGGTTTTCAGGATGTATTATGAAATTTAAAAGAGTCTAGCTCACTGAAAGCTTTGTAAGTTTGAAGGGTTGTTTTTCAACCCAATCAACCCTCAATAAATATTACAGTGATTAAACCGAGGCAGTGTGTCAACTTCATTTTGTTGTCCCAGATGTTGTCTTCATTCAACCCTTTCTTTGTTTTTTTTTGTCTTCTCAAGGTGATATTCTCTCAAAATCTGCTGCCAGCCTGGAGCCTCGACATCTGAGTATGATTCTCTCGCTTCTGCAGAGCAGCCCAAACCCAGAAGAGAGGAGGAAAGTTCTCGTAACTTTAGGAAACGCTGCTGCCTTCACAGTAAACCAGGTCATCTGATTTTCCGTCTTCTAGACATTATGTATTAGACTGACTTTGTTGATACGTTTTGACTTGCAGAAGAGTAAGCATATGTAGATTGTGCATCATATACAATATTTTTTTTCACTTTTCTTTGTTAGGATCTTCTGCGTGAATTCGGAGGTCTTCACGTCATAGCAGACTTCCTCTCAGACCCTTCACCTGAAATTCGGGTTCAGACTCTAAACACTCTGAACAACTTAAGCATGAATATCCGCAATCAAGAGCAACTGAAGGTATTGCGTTATTTACTTTTTAGAGAGGCACAATATACTGCTATAGATTGTAGAGTGTATACAGGTGCATCTCAATAAATTAGAATGTCGTGGAAAAGTTCATTTATTTCAGTAATTCAACTATGAAGCAGCACAACAGTTTCTCATATTAGAATGATTTCTGAAGGATCATGTGACAATGAAGACTGGAATAATGATGCTGAAAATACAGCTTTGCACCACAGGAATAAATGAGATTTTAATGTATATTAAAATAGAAAACGTTATTTTACATCATAATAATATTTCACAATATTAAATTTTTTCCTGTATTTTTGATCAAATAAATGCAGCTTTGATGAGCATAAGAAACATCTATTATAAAAAACATTAAAATCGTTCTGATCCCAAAGTTTTGAATGGTAGTGTATATTATGGACTGTATATAGTTTTTATTATGTTTTTTTTTTTTTTATTGTAGTTGAGTTATTGAGTTTATTATTTTAGTACTAAACAAATAAGAAATGTTGCCTTTGGAACTAGCTTAAAATAAGTTTAAGGGTTTTTTAGAAAAAAAAAAATTTTTTCAGTTAAAATTTATTTCATTTCAAGTAACAAAAATGGATTTAGTTTTAGTTTTAGTTAACTGTAATACCCTGGTTTCAGATCAGTGTTGTTAACTTAAACTATTCTCAGTAATTAAAATAAAACCAAAATAAAATAAAATGTAAATATTAGATGGAAAAACTTAAACTTAAAAAAAAAACTTGATTGCAAATTAGAAATGTTGCCTTGGCAATTAACTGAAATCATTGGTATATGTTAACCCTCTGGGGTTGACGAATGTGCCGGCGTTTTTTCCTGACAACGCCGAAATGAACTTAAATTACTCTGTCATTTTTGATCGTACAGAATGATAAGAGCAATACATCATTCGAATCTGTAAAGGGTCTATTTTTATTTGTATACACTCATAATAACTACTAAAGTACTAAAACTCAAATTGAAATAAAATAAAGCTGTATAGAAATAAAATAAATAAAAATGACAAGCACAACAAAATGACTAAAACTAAAATGAAAACTGAAAATATAAAAAAGCTATAATATAAATACTATAATAATGTATACTATAAATAATACTAAAATAACACCATTTTGAATGTGTGTTTTTCTTGTGTTCTCCCATGGATACTATGTTTACACATGTTTCTGTTGTTTCTGGTCAGATATATGTCCCGTCGGTGATGCAGATGATTGAGATGTCACCTGTGAACTCTGACCTTCAGCTGGCAGCGCTCAGATTGCTCACTAATCTGTCAGTCACGGATAATCACCAGCATCTGATGAAGAATTCCGTCACCCTTCTCCTATCTCTACTCATAGTGAGCAATGAAGTCCTACAGGTGATTTTGGAGTAACATATTGAATGATATGTTTACGATATCAGATGTATTGAAGATTTAATCTGTTCCTGCAGATCCAAGTCCTGAAGGTCCTAGTAAATATTTCCTCCAATCCAGATCTGATG